TAGCAGCACCCGTTTCGAGGCTGTGCATGGATATTTGGATTTGACCATTCTTATCTTTCTTTGTGGAACATAGTTTTAAAGTTTTCATCACATTCTCAAGCATTTGTGGCCAAACTGGCAATCCTCCACCTGTCTTTGCCACGTAAGTTCAAAGCCATTCTCGGATATTGCTTCTGTGCCAAATAATAATTACAATCCCATGCTTACATCAGCTGATTCAAATCAAATCATTGTTTATTTTTTTTTTTTTTTTACCTCATTACTAGTCCTAAACTAGCCCCGTTCCAACTTTTTTGGAATGTTTTGCAGGCCTGAATGGCAGGAATGGATGTATATTAAATAAAAGTCCAATTAAATTTAGAAAAAAAAAAAATTGCAGCTTTCTGCTTCCGCATTCATTTTTCATACTGCCCCAACTTTTTTGAAGTTGATGTTGTACATTCATATAGTTCACCTGCCTGCACCATTCAGTTTTTCAGACAGTGTGCAGAGGGGTTTATCTGTGTGATATGGTCCATATGGAAGAGTGAGTCATTAGTTTAGAGGGCTGTGAGAACACTATTCTTGAAGAACGGCCATCACTATCTTTATTAAGAGGAGTGTTAATACAATTTGCACAGTAAATTAAATTCCCTTCCTGCCCCACATCACCCCTCAACTACATTCAGAGTGGCTTGATTAAGCCTCTGATTAAGATGATTGTCTTGGTGAAGTTGATCTCTTATGCCATTGATTCCTACCTATTTCCTGATCTTGTTCTAAAAAGCTGTATCTTTTAGCCCCCGAAAATGGCTTTGAAATATAATTTCCCAGCGCCTTGTATGCCATAAATGTCTAAATGTAACTCAACCCTAAAGTAGAATTTAGGGGTTCAAAGATAGGTAGTGCTACAAATGCATGCCCAAACAACTAAAGTGAAAAGGCCAATCAGTATAGGAAAAAAAGACAGTAATGTGTTTACATTCTGTACGGCAGTTGAATGACTAATTACAACAAAACACTGAACCCTAAAATAACCTTTGCCTAGAGAAACAGTCAAGTTTAGTCTAGGGGTAGGCCACCATGGTCGAGGAGTGCTAGTGCCATTTCTGTTCCATCCAAAACTATTGCTAAGTAGCAGGAATGATTTTAAATAATCTGGATTTTGTGAATTCAGTTGACCATGTGTTGAAAAGCTCTCAGAGTTTGTAAATTCAAATTAAATTCAGATTACTCAGCAATTAAGCAACAGACTCCTATTCATCCATCAAACTCAGGAGGTAATGCCCAGATGGAACAAAAACCAGAAACAGCACTGGCTTTCCAGGACCATGGTTCCCTCCCTCTGGTTTAGACAAAGAGTCAATGTACCCCCTGAAGAAATACAGAAAATGCCTTACGAAGAGGTTTGAAAAAGCAAGATTAAAATGACTTTCTGCAACATGGGTACACCGTTTGTATGGGGGAATAAGAATAGTAGACTTTTTAGGGTGAGGTGAAGTATATGGTATGTAAATGCACCTAAGGACAATTCTGTCCTCACCCAAAGTTAGCCAATTTTTCAATTTCCATACTGTCAGTTTTCAGTGGTATAATGTGAGACTATGCGGAGTATGGAGTTTTTTGGGGAAAAGAATACTAATTGAACACGATAAAAATAAATCACTGTTTACCAGAAGCTCATGTTAAAAATGAGGAGAGAAAAAAGCTAAAATTTAAGGAGTACAAACATTTCAACCTGTTCAGAATAAGAGTGCTGCGGGGTTGAAATGTTTCAGCAATCAGTCACCTTATCAGGGTCTACAAAGTTGACTAGGTGAGCACAAAGTAATTCATTAGAACCCTTCTTTTAACTTGAAAACATATAACGTATGAAGCACTTTAGTACAAACCAAACTCGGAAAATTCTCATGAAAACAAAAAGCTGCAATATATAAATTTACTTTGACTTGTGTTTCATAGTAGATAGAATGAACATGATATTTAATGTTTTGTTGAGTCAACCAAATTTTATTTGTAAATATGTATCCATTCCAGCCATTCAGGCCTGCAAAACATTCCAAAACAGGTGGAATGGGGGCAATTTAGGATGAAAAATGAGGTGAACATTTCTAATAAAGATGTGTTTTGAAACAGCTGACATCAGCAAGTGATTGCAATCATGATTTGGTACAAAAGCAACATCTAGGAAAGGCCTAGATCTTCAGGACCATAGATGGGCGAAGGCCCGACAAATGGCCTAAAAGTGTGTGAAAACAATCATTCAAAGGTTGAAAAACAATGTTCCTTGGAGAAAGACAGAAATAATTTGGATATTAAATCCAATGAACAGATTTAAGGAATTTGAATTAATTTCTGTATTAAAATGGGCAAGGGTGCACACCTGAGCTGAATTCTCGTGATCACCATTCACTCAGTCAGCAATGCATCAAGAAACATCATTTACCTTTGAGTGATATGCCCACATGGGCTCAGGAGTACTCAGGTAAATCTTTGTTAAGTTCAACAATACTTAGTTATAAGTGCTACAATACATAGAAGAGAGTGGAGGTTCTAGACCGCCCTGCCTGCAGTCCTGACATGTCCACAATGAAGAACAAATGGCACATTCTGAAATGAAAAATACAAAAACAAATACCTTGTATTGTTGCACAGCTCAAGACCTGTTTGCAGGAAGAATGGGACCAAGTTACAAGTGAAATACATTTGGTGTCTTCAGTCCTTAAAAGGTTATTAAATCTTGTGAAAAAGAATGGCAACATTACAAAATGGTAAATACTTTACTGTCCCAACTTTTTTTGAAATATGTTACAACAATCAAACTAGAAATGTGTTTATTTTGAAAAAGCAATAAAATTCATGTTGTGAAACATTTACTAATGTATTGGTCTCACTGAAATGTTGGGCAAAGATAATGCACAAATCCCTGTTTTCAGTTTAAAGTTTGATTCAATAAACCATCTCAACTTCTTCTGATTCGGGGTTGTATATCAACCAATTAAATACGTGATGTTATAGGCTTACCTTTTTATCTTACAGTACATGCATCACATACTATGTCTATGAGTGCTCCTGTTCTTGCAGTATGACAGGCTCATTGTACAAGACAGGTCCAAGCAATAAAAGCCATGCACTACAGCAGTTTTTTTCTTCTTCTTCTGAACAAGCTTCAAAGAACCTGTTGCAAGAACAAATGAAAATCAAATGCTGGGTGAGTAATTACACTTCAAAGCCCTGTGCCCCATGTCCAGTATAAGGAGAGAGACAAGAAGCAAAGGAACAAACATCTTTTCAGCATCATGCTAATGCTTCCTCACAACAACGCTATGACATTACCAAAAAACCGACATGGGCAAAGCCAAAAGATAACCATATACAGAGGTGTAAAATCCAGGGGTCAGAAAGTAGGGGCCTGCCAAGTTTTTCTCCCTCCCACAGAATGTGCTGATCACTCATATTAGCTCTATCTCCTGTCCGAAGTAAATCCAGGTGGTTGGAATAACGGTCTGGGGAGGATTTTAACTTTCTGAACCCGGACTTAAACCCCTGACCACATATGAGTGTGTGTCCATGTGTGAGTAAAAATGTATGCACAAACACACACAAACCAAATGGCATGTAAATATAGCACAGTCAATCATGGCTCTGGAGGTCAGCCTGAACCTAAAGAAAGCCAGTAGAACTTCCTCACTGATGAAATCTATATTGGGTCGCAGGTCTCCCCAAGGATGAGTGACAGAAGTTTTGTATCCAAAACCATTCAGTTTAGACTATTCATTCATTAAATGGCTTATTCTTCCTCCTTGGGACTGGGATAAACATGCTGGGAAGGAGATCAGCTCATAAGGGAGTGCAAGAGAATTTCCAATATCGCATAGTGTGTCCATGATGCTTCTTAATGTCTCTGACAAACCGCATCAAAAAGCCAGTGTTTAAAATGTTAAATAAATAAACAGTGGGGGAACATCATTTTAGGTGGCCAAAGAGAAAATTGGATAATTTCCACAGGGTTAGTAGGCCAGTGTGTTACATACCCACAAACTGAAATGAAGCATATGACACACAATATGGAAGCAATGACGGAAGTCTTCAGCTATTATGTAACAAAGATCAGATTTCACCTTGCGTATTCTTGGAACTTCATCAAATCCTTCTATTCAAAACAAAACTTGAGTCTTCTTTTCTGACCATTTTTACTTTGACAGGGGCGGCAGGAAAAACAGACGGGTGACAAATGAATGGAAATCAACCTGAACAGTCTTAGTAAGGTGTTGGGCGTCCAGATCAGTTGACCATGCCTTAGCACTGAGTCTAAACGCGTAAAACTCTATTCAAGGAATATATTGCCTTTCTTATGAAAGATGTTCCCCCATTTGGTGACAGAGAGCGCTGTCCAACACATAGTTCCAAAATCTCCCATAGGAGTTCAGCTGATTTGAGATCTGGCAATGGTATATGGTTCAGATCATTTTCATACTCATAAAATCATTCAGAGACAATTTGAGCCTGGAGAGGCTCGACCACTCCCATCATGGTAAGAATGCTTCATTGCAGAAAATAAAGGTGATCACACAGAATTACTGCATTGATTTGCAATGACCCTTCCATCTTTAAGGGAACTAGTGGACCCAAACCATCTCAGACAAATGAATAGAAGCATTTGTTACGTTTGTCCACACATTCAGGTTTTTCCTTCAATTTGTCTCTCATCTGTATATCTGTCTTTGAGCACATTCTTTGCCATGTTGATAGAAGGCCAGTGAAAACTGTTATTTTTTTTTTTGGTAGATCACTACTTGTAATTTGCAAACACCTTGGTTAAGGCTAACTGCCTCATTAGATACACCTTACAGAGAAGAAGATTTTGATTTTTTTTAATCAGACCTTCAATACATTCAATGCACAAGAAGAAATATACAGGTGATCATGGTTGCTGTGTCAGACAGCAAAAATTTGCTACACTTGTGGACCAAAATGCATGACCAATACATGCGCTCCACAGAAAACGTGATCAAATGTTGGGCGGCATGGCTCAGGAGGTAGAGCGGGCGGCCTAGGACCAGTTTGAACCGGGCGGGTGGCCCGGTTCGAACCCCGGCTCCTCCAGAGAACGTGTCAAAGTGTCCTTGAGCAAGACACTGAACCCCACACTGCTCCTGATGTGCAGGTTGGCGCCTTGCAGCCTCTGCCATCAGGGTGAATGTGAGGCATAGTTGTAAAGCCTTTTGGGGTCATGTCATGTGACTAGAAAGTGCTATATAAATGCAGTCCATTTACCATTTGAATCGCGATACCTATGAAGCCATTATATTGACTTGCATCATTTTGCACAGCTTTTTCCGAAACCTAATCGTAACCAAATTATGCCTAACCCTAACCCCAACTGTAAGCAGTTAGCTGTAATCCTCTGTAATGCCCTGTGAGGACCACTCAAAATGTCCTCACAACTTATGTGGTTTCTCAAGACAAGCACAACGCTGAAAGCGAGATCAAATGTTCCTAAGGCTATACCTGTGAGGCCATTGTATTGGCTTTCATCATTTTGTTTAGCCGTTCCAAAACCCTCACTCTCACTCGCTCATTCCCGTGACTGGGTGGTTGTGGGGGGGAAATGAGTGACGCCGCCAACACCGTCGTTCTCCCTCGCTGTCTGTCCTCAACCTCCGTCAGTAGTTCGGGCAGTGCAAGTCATGTCCAGTACTTCACACCGTCTGTCCAGTTCCTCCTTTGCCTGCCTTGGCAGCGCTCACCCTCCACTCAGCCTTGCAGGATAGTCTTAGCTAGGCTATTGAGGTGAGATACATATCTAAACCAGGTCAGCTTTCTCCTTTTGACTGTTCCTAGAAGTGGTTTTTGGGGGGCCTGCAAGGGCTCTGACCCTGTTCCTGACAAATTTGTTCATCTTGTGTTCTCGGCAGGAGATGTGCCTGCGGAAGCATTTTGCTTCAAAACTTTACAGCCTTCTTTCCATTTCAGCGTCATTTATCCGGTTTTCACATCCATGCAGGAGAATGGAGAAAACGAGCAAATGGCAAAGCTTCAGCTTGACTGTGAATGCTATTTCGTGGCTTCTCCCAAACCCTAATCTTAAGAAAATCATGCCTAACCCTAACCCTATCTATTATCAAATAGGCCTAGCGATAATCTGCCGTAATCCTCTGTGAGGACCGCCCACAATGTCCTCACAATTTATAAGGTTTTTCAAGAGCAGGGAGTTACTTCTCAAAAGTATAACTATACTATTCAAGCACCCCCACACACGCGCGCACGCATACACCAGCGCGCAAACAAGTGGACGCATTTTACTGTAGTCATATTGACGACGCCATCTTTTCAGTCCAACTGACTCCACGGGACAAATTAGCTGATGCGTGTCACCTGCGCGGTTTTAATTATTTGAGGGCTCAATACCTTCCTAATTTCAGTCCTTTGCAAATAAAATTGAACATTGGCACAGACATGATTGTATCCCTTAACTCCTAACTCCGCCGTCCACCCCCGGTGTCATGTAAAAAGCAATGAATCAATAATTCAGCACTAATCAATCTATTTTATTAAAATTTCCGTCCACGATATCTGGTCCTGATGCCGAAATCGAAAAAATACACATTTGGAGCATCAAAGCGAATAATTGTTGGACCTTTTGAACGGACCTGATTGTAGTCTGAAGCAGGGTCTACGTCATACAGACACATGTCAGCTTTCACGCGAAATCCACGGTAGATGTCATACGAACATGGTCATGTGGACGATATATTCTTAGCAACTTCGGTAAGAACTATTAAAATACTTAACACGTTTTCGCATCCTGGGACTTGTAGTGAACAAGCGATTATTATGAGCGACTCATAATTAGCCACCTATTACAGACGGGTTTCATCACTGAAACAACATTTCCCAGACGCCACCGCTGCTATATAAAAATCTGTAAAACAAGGCACGACTATAGAGCTCATGTGGACGTAGTACGGACCGGAGCCGTAAAACGAATACAAAACTGAAGGGTCTGCCTTACCTTGTGAAGAGTTTTCATATCATGGAATTAAATGAACGCTGGACTGGGGACATTCTTTTGCGTTGACCAAGTCCAGATTCCTGCCATCCGCGGCAAGCTCCTCTCGAAGTGAAGGTAAACTTGCGCGTAAAACTCCTGTGCACTTCTCAGAAGGCATCTAATCTTTCTTCACCTAGCTGCATCAGTTAAAGCAAGGAAGTGCACGATGCAATTTTTGAATGCATGTTCTGTAAACAGCCATCTCCGGACAGACAAACAAATGTTTCTGTACGTTTGTACGACTAATGAGCTGGGAGGTTAGGTATGATTTCTTATCTTGTTTGATACATTTTATAACATTGTATGTACATTGTGAAACTGTCTGAAGAAACCGTAATTGCAAACTTTATCCCATTGCCTGACATCAATAATATATGTTGCTCATCGCAATTTTTCGGGCACTACCTATATTTTGTTATTCTGATTCGATAACCTGAACATTTAATGCAAACGGTGTGGAATGCTTTCCGGTAATTGACAAGATAACCACGTTGAGTCGGGGACAGGTCTCACTTCAGTTCGCAGCTGTAGTTCTGCCGTGAAAATTGATCAATTGTAGCTAGATGGTTAAACGGTACATTTTCCAACTATTTCATGTTTGATAGTCAAGAGAAGGAAAGCATGCCAAAGAACAACAATGTGCGAGCTATTGGAGTTGTTGCATATAATTAACGAAGTATTTTTGGCTCGGGTAGGGATGCATTAAATTAAGTTGGGTTACGTAAGAACTTCGAGTACTCTTGGCCTTTATAATTGTATGCAAGCGAATCGCCGAAATTATGAATGTGCTTTGAACTCATGAACACTTGCTTTGACAGCGAGGTTCGAGTAAAGTAAAAGAATTCCTCCTCTAAATGAGGAAGACGGTCAGTTGACTATGGTCGCAAAATGTCAGTGTGGTCCCTCCAATTTAGCAATAGGCTACTTATTGGATTAGCGTGGGAAAATGAAGTGAAGATATGGTACATGCAGGTGTTTGCTTATTTCCTTCTGTGCTTACAGATAGTTGCAATTTTTTTAGAGACAATTGGCCTACCTGTTGTTGCGAGTTCAACCGCTTTCTACGCAACAGCACTTGTCTTGAGACCTGAATGGGTAAATGAATCAAGCAATCAACTTCTCAACATTCAGACGATCCCTACTGGAGGGAGCAAAAACTAAAAAAGCTCTTTCAAACGTATTCAATTTGACGCATGGTATTATAAAAAGGCCGTAGTCTAAAAATAGCTGATGCTTGACGACGTGAAGCCGATTGCACCAGGTCCTCTTCTGACAGGAGTTCATTGTCTTGAAAGTTAACTTCTCGACCAACTACTGGATGGAGGGTGTGATGACAACAACGAAAACAACAACAGTAATAATGATGATGATAATAATAATAATAATAATAATAATAATAATAATAAATTCACATATTCAAATCATTGTAAATTGGATTGATCAACAATTATAATAAATGTAATTGCTTTGAGTCATTGAGATATTCTTTTCCACGGATTCACATAGACAGCGCTCATCCATGTATACCCTGATGAGCCAGAGCATTATGACCAATCATAGCTGAAGCAGATAACGTTGATCATCTTCAACAGCAAATGTCAAGCCCTGCAAATAGACATTCAATGTTAAACAAGCTGTCAATTTTTGTAGTCAGCTTGTTCAATTTGTTGAAATGGGACCAGAGCAATTTTAACAAGGGCCTGATCATTATGACAAGACAACTGGAATGGAGCATCTCCTAAGCGGTAAGGCTTGTGGGGTTGCTACCGGTCAGGAGTGGTGAGTGCCTGCTGACTGGTCCATTGTGGGACAAACCATGAACTGGCCAAAGGGCTCATTGATGTGCAAGGGAAACCAAAGCCATTCTTGTCACTCCACACTGACGAAGGGCTACTATAACACAAGTTGCAGAAAATTTTTATAATGGTTACAGCAGGACTTTGTTGCAACCCACTGAGCATCGCGCCCTGCTGCTATGGGGCTATGTAGCCACAGACCTGTCGAGTGTCAATTCTAACCTTTCCACCACTGAAAGCGCCTACAGTAGGTATACAAGCATTGTAACTAGACCTTGGAGCAATGGATGAAGTTTGCTTGGTCCAATGAGTCCCATTTTCTTTCACACCATGTAACTGTTATATCAGCCGGGTACGTGTGCGCCACTCTAACCTGGGGAAGAGATGGCACCAAGATGCACTGCGGAAAGAAGCCATGCTGGTGGAGGGAGTGTGATGCTGGCTAGCTGGGAAAACCCTGGTGTGGGCATTCATGTGGACGTCAATTAGATGGAGTGGTTTTGGCAGCCAAGGAGGGCAAATTGCATTTTAGGCAGGTGGTCATAATGATCTGGCTCAATGGTGTGTATACCTCCCAGCAAGTTAGTGGACGTTCATTTCCTTCTTTTTCTTCTGTGTTTGAAAATATAGGTTTGGATTATTGCTCTCTTTTTGTATCTTTTTCACTCTTCCTGTCAGTATTCTGTGTGGGTCTTCAGAGGTAAATAAGTCAGGTAAATGACAAACTGATACATGCGAGTTAAAACCAGGCCTTTAGTCTGTATAATGTTATTCACTTGAGGGGTTTTCCCTTTTTATGTTCAATACAAAATATTTAGTTTGTTGGTGCAGTAATCAAAGTATTCAGCATTATCTGCGCATGTTTTTTTTTTCCCCCTTCGGGTAGTTCTACTACATGTGGAAGTGGTCAGTATGCAAAGTGTCATCAATAGTACAGAGGTCGGCTGATATACAGTAGTGTCTTGCTTGGTGCCTGTAGTTAGCATTTGGCAAATATTTGGAGTTGGTTTACTCAAATCTTGGGTTAGTTCTTAAGTGCTCATATTTACTGGTGTGGTAATATGATTGATCATAGGCTCCATTTGGTAAGAGACGCAGTGAGTGTATCCTGCTTATCCAGTTGTTTTCGGAACATGCTGCTATATGTGTATTTTAATCTGCAGTGGTCATCTCAGGTGAGGATTCACTGAATTTGGGTCAGCAAATAGAACTGCACTCTCTGTGAACACCTATTATTAAAAAAAAAAATAAATAAA